TTCTGCATTGTAAAGAAATTTTAAAGTATTCGTTAAGATTTAATTCGGTTTTTTGCCGAATTTTCTAAAATGAAATAAATTACGCACACTTCCATTCTTTTACGAAATTTCGGAAGAAAATCTGTGAAGCAACGAAAATAATGCTGCTATGTGAAGAATATCTTTCAGAGTTTTTCCAGAATTTTCTTTATTTTTCGTACAGAAATTTCTTTACGTGTTCGTGTCAACCACTTCATATAACTTTCTTTAAAAATTCGTAAAAAAAATCGCTACAGAAATGCGATACTCCTAACGATTTCCTTAAGATTTCGGGAACTTTGGTTTGCAGGGTAGTTGAGCCTGATTTTTGAATTCTTATTGGATTATATAAAATTTTTTTGTACAAAATGCAGAAAAAGTAACAATTTTGAAGAAAATGTAACTCCTGTTGCAGTTAATAAATATTACATACCAAAAACTAGTTGATAACAATTGTATGGTTCTCCCAAAACAAAAAAAAATAAAAATTAAATTTTGAAATGTTATAAAAAAAAGTTCACCAAAATAAATATTTTGTTTTTGTTTTTAGTAAAAAGTTGGTTGCAAAATAAAGACTCCGGTGAATTATGAACATTAAATTTCAATTTTGAACCACTGTGTGCTGGCTTCGTCGTGCAGTATGAATTATGATAAACGCGTTTTGGTAGCAAAGGATGGCGAAGTTTTTGAAAAGATGTGGCTTAACTTTTCGCTACAGCAGGGAAACTTGTACAATTAAATAATATAATTAACTGGTAAATATTTGATTTAAATTATGATATGGGTAAGGTACTTTTATCATACGATTTGTATCCCCAAATCATTTTGAAAAAAATGTCCTTTATTTTTTGGTTAATATGGTCACCGTAGTCATAACCAATATACATACATATGTACATATGTACATACATACGTGCATCTGCTTTTGCTTAAGGCTGCATTTTTTGTCTTTTTGCTATCTAGATCCCTACCTACCCCTGTTCGTTTTAATTACATTTATTTCATTATGTTTTCCATTATCTTAATTCTTATCTTTATACTCTATCGATAACAAAATCGATAGTATCATCCAATAAAATATCGATAACAAAATCGATAAAAATTCGATAAACATTTCGATAGCAATAACGTTAATAATATTGGTAGCAAAATCTATTAGAAACTCGAAAAAAATATTCATAACAAAATCGATAAAAATATCCATAACAAAATAGATAAAAATATCCATAACAAAATCGATAAATATCCCTAATAAAATCGATAAATATCGATAATAAAATCGATAAATAACGGTAACAAAATCGATAAATATCGATAACAAAATCGAAAAATATCGATAAAAATATCAATACCAAATCGATAAAAAATATCGATAACAAAATCGATAAATATTGATAACAAAATCGATAACGAAATCGATACAAATACCGATAAAAATATCGATTATTTTATCGATGTCCCGAGAATGCCGAAAATTTCTAAAATCCCAAAATGATTCCCAGATTGAGTGCTGAAAAATTTGAGTCCTGCGGGAGTAGCGTGCCTAACGGAGGTCCTCAATCTGTCAATGGCCACTCTCGTCATTCCAGACATCTGGAAGATAGGGAGAGTAGTCCCGCTGCTCAAACCGGGGAAACCAGCCAACAAAGGAGTCTTATCGTCCGATAACCCTCCTTTCCCCGGTAGCGAAGACACTAGAGGCCTTGCAACTCCCGTACTTTAAGAACCACCTGACCCCAGCGAAGCATCAGCATGGATTCCGTAAAATGCACAGCACAACGCCATAAACACCCAGATAACTCGTGGCCTTACCGATACCGAACCTGTGAAAGAACTATTCTACGTTCCCACGACAGTCGGGTCTACGTAACCGGAACGACCCAGATAGATATATATCTGGCCAAGGACTGCCACCACTCCAGCAACACTCCCCAAAATCTCTTTGGGGAATTTGTATGTTGTTACAACAACAACAACAAGAACTATTCTAGTAGCGTGGGACCTGTCCAAGGCGTTCGAGACTTGATCTTTTTGAATCAATGCACTCATATTTCTCCTTGTTTTCTACATAGAAAAGTATGTTTTCATAAAAAAAATACCAAACAACTCTAAACTAGCGATTTCTTAAAGGAATGTTGCCTTTCTTTTTGCTATAAGCCTTTTTTTGTATATCTCCCGACCCTACTTATTTTCTTGCCTACTTGAGTCTCTGATTAAAATATACACCATCCACATACTAATTACCGTAATTCAGAAAATTAAACATTCTCAAAATTTAATAGTTTCCAAAGTTCATTGTATTTTAGTTGCTATTTAAGTTCAAGTAAATAATTTAATAAGATCAATTTCTATTCGTTAACAAGCCATAAAATATCTTAAATATCAACATTTTGTGGGATTTCAATTATTTTTTTCAGAACCTCTTTTTTCTATGTAATCTCAAATAGTGTTCTAATAATATTAAAAAATTACCGTAGGAACGCTAAGGTCTTTTTGATTGAGCATATCGTGTATGAAAGGGCAAAAGTTATTTATCAATAAATATAACCGATAAAAAAATCTTAATTCAATGCATCTAATTAAAAAATTAGTTAGTTAAATCATTAAGACACGTAGATACATCAGAGTGACGGAGGTTACAGAAACAAAAATTATTTAAATGATAGACAAGTACTCCTACAAATATAGTTCGCAATTTATGTATGCACATACATACTTATACCCACATACGAATGTACTCGTACATAAATGCACCTATTTTGCCATTCATGCGTTTTATATGCCATTTTTTTGGTCTGAAATGTATGCTATTTAGGAAATGACTTTCCATTTCAAGTTTGTTGTCGCTTCCAAGTCCTTGTTTTCGGGACCAAGCAGACAACTACCAAAATGCGCAGGTTCATTTTTAAAGTATCGTTCAACAACTTGCTTTAGTTCGTCCACCGATGTGGAAAGCATTCGTGCACGGTAATTAGCGAACATTTCTTGTGAAACACCGTACAAGAAGAAGTCAATACCAACATTTCCAGGGGCTATAGGTGCATCCAACTGCTGCAAAACACCCAACTTAGCTTCAAACAAAGCTTGTTCAGTTAATTCCGTGTTGTGTTCTTGGAGCCAATTGTATGTATTATTGAATGCCTCAAGTGTTTTAGTTGAATTTGGGTCACGGTAACTGAAAAAACTAAATATGCCGTCTGAACCAATCCTAGCTCCCGCGCCATAAGCACCATTCTGTTCGCGTACTACTGGTAAAAGATATTTGGCGGAAATCAATTTGGCAAGTACACGAAGTGTTGGGTGATCACGATGTGTATATGGTACGGCAAAGAATGCCTTGGCGCAATAGTTAACTGGAATATTCATTACAAAATGCTGTTGACTTGGTTCAAGTAAACTGATGCTATGTTCAGCGTTCTTCTTCGATTGTGGATCGTTTGGCATATTTTCAAGGAATTGCTCGTAGTATTTTGTAAGCGACGGATAGAACTCTTCCGATGTGTTTAGGGCGCAGCGCATAACGTTCTTCACAAATAATTTCTGACCCAGCGTCTTCAACTTTGCTCTGATCTCTTCAGTCTTGTTTTGTTTCACATAAGTTTTCATGAATTCAATATGCTCTACGCCGGCAAGATGAGATTTTAATTTAGCCGCATTTGTTATCAAGCCCGCGCAGCTCTGCATGGCATACAAGTGTCCCGAACTCGCAATACCCACAGAAATATTGGAAATGTAATTATCAATTAACATGCTCAACCGATCGGTGTCCTCTAACTTAAACTTAGTTAGTAATTCAGTACTCAGTTCGAACATCTCGGCTGCGTTTTTATCCAGCGCATGTGTAGTCATATAAACACCTAATAGGTATGATTTACTATCGTATATATTCTCAGCGAAATGTAATTTAAAATCAATCCCAGCTGTCTTGGATAAGACCAACTTGTCGAATTCTCTGAAATTGTAATTGTTGGTACCCATATCGTTAATGACATCACAGAAAAGGGGCAACAACATAACTTCATCGTGATTTAAGTTGGCACCATTAAAATGTAATTTTAAGTACGAAATGTCGTTTGTATGAACATGGCACACTTGCGTTGGCACGCTGCAAATGCGCAGAACTTCGATTGAGGGCATTTTCGGCATTTTCTGCACATCAGACAAATCTAGGCAAGGGAGGATTTCCAAATTTGGATGGCCTTTTTGAGCTTGGTCCAATTTTATACCATTTTCATAGACTTCTACACGTTTTTTATCATCAAGAGCCATTATTTTCTGCTTTAATAAATCTAGTTCTGCTGTTTTGAAGTTGTCTTCATAATGGTCGTCGGGAGACATAGTTAAAGTGAGACGATGTGAATTCGTTGCAAAATACTGTTCAACCTTATGTTGCAAATACTTTGGATCCTTTGCAAGGTTGTGACGAAAATTAGCAATCATATTAGACACCCGCAAACTGGACACCACATCGCCATCGTGATTCCACAATGGAGTAGAGTTAAATAGCAAACCCATACCAAATTGTGGGCTCTGGTGTTTAAGTAATAACTCGATGTTGTGTAGTACACTTTCTACGTGACTAAGCTCAAATCCTTCCGACATAACTTGCTTAATGGTTTTGTCATAAAGTTCTTGTACACGTGCGAAGTCCTCTACGCGCAAATCTTGCAATCCCACACAAAAAAAAGTGTCTTTTATTTGTGGGTCATAGCCCGTTGCCTGATTATATCCACCAGAGAAGTTAGGCTCGATAAGGCTCCTGTAAAATGATGAATTTGGTCCACGCACCAGCAATTCCGATAGAACATGCAGCACGAATGTTTCTTGTGTATCTGTTACATCTGACATTAGAAGAGCAATACCAATTTGATTTTGTTTCTCGAAGGGTGCTCCCATGTTATCAAAACGGCTAGAGATATGAACATTTCGTGGTTTATCCCAGCGTGGCTGGTTTGGTATTCGGCTATAAGAATTATCAATAGCATTATACTTGCTCATATATTCATTATTAACATAATCGAGTGTCCTTCGTAAGTCGAAATTGCCATAAGTATATATACGAGCATTACTTGGATGATAGTATTTGGAGTGAAAATCTACCAAATTCTTGTGTGTTAGCTTTGGAATTTCGAGTGGATTGCCGCCGGATACAAATCCGTAAGTGTGATCCGGTAGCAAATTGTTAAGCAGGTTTTGGGAGAACACTGAGCCATTTTCAGAGAAAGCGCCTTTCATTTCATTATAAACGACTCCCTTTAAAACGTACTCTGAAGACTTATCATTAATGTTTGAGTGCTCCAAACGCCAACCCTCTTGCAGAAAATCCAAGTATTCCAAATTTGGTCTACAAAATTAAAGGAAGCACTTTATCAAAGATTTTAAGCACCAGATACAGAAAATCTCACCTGAAAACTGCGTCCAAATAAATTTTTTGTAAATTCCTAAAGTCTGTCTCATTCATAGTAGAAAATGGGTACATTGTATAGTCCGGGCCGGTCATGGCATTCATAAATGTGGCCACAGATCGGTTAAGCATTTTGAAAAACGGATCGCGGACTGGATATTTTTGCGAACCACATAAGACACTATGCTCAAGAATATGTGGTAATCCAGTGGAATCAAAAGGCGTTGTGCGAAAGTTGATAGAAAATACATTATTTGAATCCTTTCGATCTAAATACCACAGCTCGGTGCCGCTTCCAACGTGTCGAAAGGTGTATGACATTATGCCGAATTCCGGTACAGATTCCACACGTATGCATTCAAAACCATGATACTGTTTTCCCTCGTTAAATTTGTGCTCTTGTTGCTGGATAATGTGGGGTACGGCCATTATTTTAGAGCGCCGTAGAAACGAAGTCGGTTGGGCATGTTTGTTTTTATTGCTCCATAGACTGCTCCCAATATTTCGTGCATTTATTCCTACGCCAACGTTGAGAACTGTGCATCTTCCAGCTACTTGTTTTACCATTTGCGCCACAGAACGCGTTGACGAGACGCGAGATAACATTGTTTTATATGTTTCACAATGTGCGTAATATTGTAAATAACTGTGGCAATACGATGCCAATATTTGAGCTCTGGGGATCACAAAAACACAATAATAATAAAAACTAGACTTTGCGGCATTTACTAAATCATTTGCATTACATCAGACGTAAAATTTCTAGACTCGAAAATCGATATATAAATGCATGAATAATGAAAAGCAATGCTAAATATATGACGTTACGCAATTTGTATTTTATGATAGCATAAAAACTACGCCTATTAAAGTTATATGCCACTTACCGCCAGGAACTGGGATGATAATTATTCTTTAAAAAAAGTTGGCGTAAACTTCAAAATCCAATAAGATTGAGCCCAAGAATTCCATATGATAAGAAATGCTAGAAACGAAACAACAACGAAAATTTTTTGACAGTAACTAAAGCGGGATCATAAGGCAGTGTTGGCAAATGTTTTTGTATATTACTGCCATACCTAAACAAAAGCGATAGGCGTTGCGTTTTCTGACGCTTAGCGTTACGCAGAAGTGTCATACCTAAAAGGCCCGTCCTGCACAATGCTAGATTTCCTGCAAATACATTAGAATTTACGAAAGGAATTTCACTGCTAATTGCCTACTTTGCGAACTTTTCTACTACCATTTTCGAAACAAGGGATTGCATTCTTGCCCTTTCTCTGTCCTCCGTAAATGCAACCTTTTGTAAGGGAGTGTCAAACCGCAGCTGTCAATAATTATATAACCTTGTATTATTGAATCATGGTATTCTATCATTCTTGATACAGAACTTTCGTTTTAAAACAAACACACCATTACAAAACTATCTCGTCATTCTAAACGAACGCGTTTATCACATCTGAGTTGACAACACGGGTTTCATTTACGGCACCGATTGACATTTACATCGCTCAACAAAAGCTGCACCTGGAATAAGCTGCTCAACTAACAAGGACTGGTGAACACAAGTATTTACCAACTAGTGGAATAACCTGGCGTTTGCGAGCTAACCGCTCTGCCATCACACTCAAATCACAAAAAAAAAAAAAAAATTTTTTTATAAATATGACACCAGTCTTCTAATTTCATTAATCCGTGCTATTAACTAATTTAGTTAAGCGGAACAACAAATCCCAATCATAGTTAAAAGCGATGGACAGTCAGGTATGTGTATGTACATGTATCAATTACTTTGTGCTTTGCTCACGCCAATCAATTAGAGCGTTCCAGAACGTCTATGATTTGCAGGTTTTGCAGGATTTTGTCCAAAGTCGTTCCCGTACGCCACGTTCACATAAGGTACATATATTAAAGGCGAAAATATCTGTTCCTGTACAACCTGCAAATCCTGGAGTACGGGAAAAGGCTGAATATCTAACATTAAATATGCGATTTTAGATGCAAAGGAACTCCAGAGAAACATTAAAAATAGGGTTGTATCATTGCCCCCCCCACCTGCTGCGTATGCCAGAGACGATTGCATGCAAACTCAATGCAATGCTTGCAACGGGTGGAGTCTGCTCAGGCCTACGGACTCATCGGCTTTGGACCACATCGTTTGTGGCCCCCCTGCTGCTCAAAGAGAGCTGCCTCCACGGCAAACCCCAGTCCAACTGAGGCTGGTGCCACTTTAGGGCATGTTTAGGTCTGCTCAACTGCGACGCCGCTCACTACCACCACAGGGCGGCACCTTCCACAGCAGCGCACACAGCCAACGGCGGTCAGGCAGCACACATCCCTTACTCCCACATAACAATACGTACGAGTTTCCTGCGCCCACCTTCTTAAAAAGGGAATCCCTGGGAATTTGTATAGCACAGTGTTATAATATTACCTCAGTGCATTTTAAAAATGCTATTTCTAAAAACATATATATTGTACATAAAAACCTTTAAAGGCCACATATGAAGCCAGGAGAGCCGGAGTGGCCTATTAACCATTTTTTTTTTAGTAAGATGGGAAAGAAGAAGGAAGTATAATAAATATGTTTATTTTTACTGAAAATTTCACCAATGTGATACCTAATACCTATTATTGTAAAAGAAAACTAAAAGGGCGTATTCCCTACGCGATACTACCTATTATGGTCAAAGAAAACTAAAATGGCGTAACCCGGGCTATTAGCGCTTTGATTTTAGTAATGCAGTTTCCGTTGTACCTCAATTTTTTTAAGTGTCAGTTAGGCTACTCTCGCTCTCAAGGCCTCTTATATGTACTATCTTTAAAAATTAACGCAATTATTTACCTTAGCCATTGCCCCAAGGTCGATTATTGGATATTGTCGATAATAAGTGGCGTGAGGAGATTTTGCCCTTTGATCAGATACTTGTTCCTGCTGATAAGCTGCCTGATCCAGAAGCGGATGGCGGCGACTCTCACTTAACTCTTAGTGAACAGGTAATATTATATTAATTCTTAAAAAAAATATTAAAATTTCAATATTTTTTAACTGTTGTAGGAGCAAAAATGGAGTGATTTGGCTCTAAGTTCATTGGCGCCGGAATCATCCTTGAGTGAACAGTTAAACGTTTCCACTGTCTAAGACATATTTAAATACGAATTAAAAGTAAAAAAAAACAATTTGAAGTCCATTTTATCTTCAAAATGAATCAACACCTGCATTCACCTACAAAGCTAACTGAATTCGCTAGAGATTTCGAAGATGGCGAACCCGAATCGTTACTCGACCGTTTTGTTAACAAAATACAAAATGTATATAATCAAAGCTATAATACTGTAAATGAAGTAGCTACCACTGCCGGTTGTAGCTCCGCATCATTACAAACCTCAAAATCTGTATTTTATGATGAACATAAAACTGATGCCGACACCCGAATAAATTCCAGTTCTAATGTGAATGTTACAACAAGGGTGCAGCCGGCAAACGACTTCAACTTTACTCAAAAAATAAACGCTTCTGCAAATTCCAGTACAAACACAAGCGGCAGTACCGCCGAGGAATCAAAAAGTGAGGTTGGCGAACATATTTTAGACCTACCAAGTGAAGGGCGTACAATGGTCAATGTTTTAAAACGCATCAGCAGTTTGATGGCCACTAAAAATAGCGTAGGTATTCTATAAAATAAAAAGCGGTCATAATTATTTCTATTTAATGGCAGGACTTACGGAATTATAAAGATACTGAGCTACATCGATTTTGGATGCCCGACTCTAAGGCCAAAGAATGTTACGATTGTGCGCATAAGTTCTCCACCTTTCGACGCAAGCATCACTGCCGCCTTTGTGGTCAGATCTTCTGTTCTAAATGTTGCAACCAAGTTGTGCCTGGAAAAATAATTATGTGCGCAGGTACGTTGGTGAAGTTCAGATCGCAGGGTAAAAAACTAATTTAAATCACTTCTTGCAGGTGAATTGAAAGTTTGTAACTACTGCTCCAAAATTGTTCTTAGTTACTTAAAGTCCCCAAACATAGCGGTTGACTTACACGCCGATCTGCAGGCGTTGCAACAAGATCTTACACAAAAACTGGAGGAGAGAAACGAAAGTTTTAAAACAGAAGCATTGCCCGTAACTACAAACTTGACTCGTAAAGTATCTGTTGGCTATCAAGAAGAGCGGTTTGCTACACATGTGGTCAACAGCTTGTCAGTTGATGATCGAAAGAACATCCTGCAGCAGTCAAATTCACTAATAACACTGCACGAGGATATGCGACGTCAACTTCCCACACAGAGCTGTGGGGCCAATCTCATTGAATACTTGATTACGCATAACAAGTCTTCGAGTAAGGTTCAAGCGGCTGCAATTTTAAACGCATTGCTAGCTGCTGGCTTTCTGCAACCTATAGTACCCGATTCTGATCAAATCGATTTCGACGAAAATCTTCATTACAAGTTCATTGAACTGAATAAGTAATAATAGAATTGCTAAATTGTAAATTTTTTATTTAAGGCTTCTTTCTCGCTTTGGTTTACAGACAAGGCATTATTACCAAACAATTTCAGGATCCAACGTCGATGCATGAAGCCATCTGTCCGCGGCTTGATAACAGCGGTGAACTGCAACCACCCAAGTCTGTGGATATTTCCTTAAGCCCTCATTCCGTCCAAGATATGGAATTAGAATATTCAATGCGTTCCACAACCACTACAACTAAGCTGCTGGAGTCCTATTGTGATTATGAAGAACAGCTACTGACTCAGATGCTACGAACGTTTCACCTAGATCTACGTTGGTTCAAAGTGTTAATGTCCTTATGCTGCCGTGCAGCTAATCATTTCAAACCAGAATATTGTACTAATGACTTAATGGACATACGCAATTATGTGAATATCAAAAAGATACCGGGTGGTAAACGACAAGAGTGTACGATTGTAGGTGGAGTTGTTTTTTCAAAGAATATCGCACACAAAGGTATGGCCACGCGCGTTGAGCATCCGCGCATTCTTCTCCTGCAGTGCCCGATTGTCTATGAAAGAATAGAAGGAAAGTTTGTAAGTATATCCACTGTGTTATTACAAGAAAAGGAGTATTTACGGCGAGTCTGCGATCGCATCATGAGCTTCAAACCAGATGTGGTTTTGGTTCATAAAAATGTTGCGGGCGTGGCGCAAGACATGCTTCGTTCTCAAGGCATTACATTGGTATTGGATTTAAAACTTTCAGTGATGGAACGCATATCGCGTATACTTCAATGTGATATCGTTACTTCAATAGAGTCAAATATTGCTCGGCCACAGCTTGGAATTTGTGACGCTTTCTACATACGAAGTTTTAGTGATGGTAGTGGTGGTAATAAGACACTAATGTTTTTTCGAAAAACTTAACAATCCCCGTGGTTTCACTTGCCTACTACGAGGAGGGACAAATAAAGAACTTGCCAAGGTGAAGAAAGTCGCATCGTTTTTGGTTTATGCCCGGTGAGTTTTCGAAGGTTTCCAATTTAACCTTAGTTATAATTTTATTCTTATAAATTCAGATATAATTGGCGTTTGGAAATGTCATTCCTCTTGGATGCGTTTGCAGATCCTCTCACTCCAAAGCCACCTATCTTCAATTCCAAAGAGGCCAGTCCTGATGATTTGACATTTGATGATGAGCTAGTAATACGGTCGACAACTGAAAGAACTAAAGCATTATTAGAACGAAAAGCGGAGGAAAAAGTACTGCCAACACGCAAAGAAATTATTTCTGTATCAGAGAATGTCGCTGACTTTACTGATCCACTGCGCTCCGCAGATATTGCAAATACAATGTCAGGTGACCGACCAGTTGAATTGGCAGTTGAGACACGTTACGACAACCGCTTTCGCAATGCACTTAGCTCTACTCTACTTTCTGTCAGTCCTTTTCTCAGTTTTCCGTTACCATATTTAGAAACCGAACAGGGACGTAAGTGTTCATTGCGTCGGCTATTTCCAACTGAGCTATATTATTCCAAATTGTGGTCGAATATAAATAGTAGCCTGCATTTAGATCGCCATGAAAATTTGGAACAGCTTAAAAATGCCTTTAATGATACTCAGCTAGGAGCGCCACATCCATTTTTGAAACTTAAAATTACTACAGCTTGGGATAATCGCGACATACAAACACTACTAGCAGAATTTCGTGCATACGGCGGTCGCTATCCTAAAAAACTGAAAAGTAATAAGCGCTTATAATTTTAAGTTAATGATTTAATATCAGTTTTTTATTTAAATAATAAGTGTTTAAAAAGCTCAATCAAGCTCCACAAAAGGTGGTTGAGGAACATTTGCATAAGGACGCCCTGGATTTGGAAAACCATCAACGCCTGCCGGTGTTATTCTGCAGCTTTTATTTCAACCCGAAATCAGCATCTTCCTTTTGTGCACCACCAACACTGTTGGATATGAAATTCTATGGCCAACACGACATTATGCTTGGACAATTCCTTCAGCGGTATTGCTGTCGTTTGAATTCGATGTGCAGGCTTTGCAATTTGCCAATGTTGGGTCATGTACGGCGGTAAGTTTCACTGAAGCTTCATTAAAAGGTTATGGATTTTGGTTTAATCATATTTCACTGCATGCTTATAGTTATGTTCATTCCATGGGATGTGTGCAGGTCTTCCTTAGCGAGGACAATACAAAAACTGATCCGAATCGCATTTACTTTACGGCCTGGTGTACAATTTGTAATGATATGACGCCAAGTGTACCACTCTCTGAAAACACTAAATGCCTTTCCTTCGCCAAGTATTTGGAGCTTCGTTTCCATGGTCATGCCTACAAGAAACAACCAGTTATTACCAACAGTTCGCCCGGACTATCTCCAAGCTGTGGTGAAGTGATTCAGTGTCAGCATTCATTACATCGTGATTATGTACATTATTTCACCTATCGAGGAGTGGGTGCCAAGTTTCTGTATACGCCTATTGAAGTATGGGACATTGGCTTGCCTGCACTAATATTAGATTTACAACCTTCAAAAGTATTAGACCGCTTCAAATACCTCGAAGAGATAAAACATTTTTTCTATGAAAGGTCATGAAGTTTATACACGCATTCATGAGCGTATCGCTGACCTAGCTACCGAGGACGAAACTTTAGCGATGGTGATCAATCTTAAGACAGCATTGAGCAAAGATCAATTTATTTTCAAACAACATATAGAAATTGTTCAAACTCTACTTACAGATCCCCATGCCAGTGTGCATGATGTGAGTGATGCTTTACTTATGTCAAAACGTGTACTAGCTGAGAGTATTGATTTGTGGGGTCCACGGGTTCACGATATTGTTTTAGCGCAAAAAGCCGTGGTAAAACAGTTGCAGCAAGTACAACCTGCTCAGTCGCACACAGATTCAGGAACAATTTGCACTGAAAATTTGCGCCCAGAGTATTCAGACGGTGCTTCAAAAGGCTCAGAAATATCCCGTTTGCTAGCCGTGCCACCGCTAAGTGATGACACGTCTTCGCATTCAGATGATATTGCCGCAGAGTCCGAAATAGATTCCATAAACAATGCACATATAATGGGGGATAAAAAATCATCAATTGAGCAGTTGCTAACGACAGCCGGCAGTACAGACAAAAAGTCTATAAAAAAAAATACTTACACAGCTTTTACCTTCCGCGGGACCGACAAATTTGCTACATTCACCTTTTTCAGCCCAGGAGCATTATACTCTCCCCCTGGGCGCATTCCCGATACTTGTTCACGATCAAGATTTAAGCTCACTAATTGCATACTGTTTGACATCAAATGACTACCAGCGCTTAGTGGCTACTTCAAGCAGTACCACCAGCGGTGTGGCTGTACACACCGCTAGTTTTGACAACGCGAACAATAGTGATGCTACATGTCAAAACAATCCCAGCCCAAATTTAAAGAGGAAATCACAAGAAAAGTATGGTAATATTCAATTTTGTTGAACCTGTCTAAGCCAATAGTTCTTTTTTTAAATGCCAGCTCACAAGATGGCGATGAAAGTGATAAAAAAGAAGTTTCGAATAACAATACAAACGTAGATGAGGAGCGCAACAAATCCAAAACTAACTCTTCGCATCTGGAGTTAATATTCCAGGACAATGGCAAACAGTTTACATGCAGAATTTATTTCGCAAAAGAATTTGATTTG